AAAGAACAAAACTTATGGTTATGGAAAAAGAGGAAAGATAAAAGGACAAAGGTGAAGTGTAGAGAAGTGTAGGAAAGTGAATGAAAAACAATAACAAGAGTTACAGAAATAAACAACATAGTAGACGGAGGGGTTCTAACAGTATAATACAAAATTTTGGATGTTTCGGATACCATATTAATTAAGAATATATCGAGTGTATTAATGGAAGGGGAGATGGTTAATATTTTAAAATTTATCAATTAAGAACTGGGTTTATCAAGTTCAACATAAGAGTAGGAGCAAAAAACAAACGAAGTCCCCGCGTATACGAATGCCCGATCGATGCAAGGTAGTCCACCACGACATTACCTTCCCTACAAATGTGTTTCATCACCACCTTCCAGTCGAGCTGCAATAACCTTCTTATTTCCGCCACTGAAGTATAATGCGGATGAGTTGGAGTTGTGCTTCAATGAGCTATATAGCCACTCTCGAGTCTGTTTGAATCACAGCCTTTCGAATACCGATATCGCAAGCACACCTCAGACCTTGTGTTATTCCAAGCAGCTCATTCTGCGTTATAGATCCTTCGCCAATATTTAGAGTGAAAGCTTGCAAGAACCTTCCAGAATCATCAGGAATTACTCCACTTGTTGTAGAGCCCTGTTGCGACAAGATCACTGAACCGTCGGTATTAGTACATGCCCAGCCCGACGGCGAGCTCTCCCAAGAAATCATCCTCTTCTCCCAAATGCCTGGTGACCCCATTGTATTTTCCACCCGAGCAAAGGCTGCTTCAATCCGGCTTTTAACTCGCCTAACTTCAGCCTGTAGCTGGGTAGCAGATTTGATCTTCTCCTCACATACGCCGGCATTCCTGTTCTTCCATAGCAGCCAACAGGTGACTGCAAAGAGCATGGCCTCAATAGGCTCACTTCGTCCGGCTAAGTAGTGAATTGCCCAGCTTGTGAGATAGGGTTGAAAAAAGTGGCGTCCGACTCATTGTCCACAATATCCGACCACACCTAACGAGCGTATGGACAGTCACGAACCACATAAGGGGTCGTCTCGCCTTCATTACCACAAATCGGGCACTTCGTCGTAGTCGAGATGTGTCTCCGGTTCCTCTCCACATTGGTCAAGAGGCGGTTATGCATTACTCACCAGAAAAAGGTGCGGATTCTTTGTATAGCTGGGGTACGCCACACAGATCTCCAGACATGGTGATCGCTCGGAGGGTGCTCCTCTTCATCTAGCATTTCATAAGCCGTTTTCAACGCAAACTTTTCCGATGGAGTATAACGCCATGTGGGAACATCTTCCGCCTGCTCATAGGGCACAGGATGATGTCAGACAAGCTCCGCTACCTGCTGGGGAAGGGATGCTCTCATGTATTCCTGGTTCCAGTCCTCATTTAAAATCATCTCCACCACCGTTAGAGAGCTCGCTATCGGGGGGGAGTCCTTCCGGCAGATCGGCTAGGGTGGGTCCATCAGAGATGAGATGGATTACCCGCAGTACACCTCGCCACATATTGGATAACCATCCTGTAGTTCTTGGCTGGATTCCATTATCACCTTGCTTTAAGTACTTGGCGCGAACAACTCTTGCCCACAGGTCATTAGGCTCCGTGAACATCCGCATGCAAGCTTGATCATGAAAGCATCATTCATCTTCTTGTCAATTAGTTCATTAAAGGTTGCTTGCAAGACTTGATCGTGGATCAATGGGACTCCTAGGTACCGCCAATGATTTTTGGTTTCTGGGATATCAAGCCCTGGAATGATTTCGTTTGCCATGGAGGATCCAACAAAATCGAAGTCCTCTAGAATTTTGTGTATCACTGATACCTGAGCCATAGAAGCCACTCCGCAGAGGATTAGATCATCCGCAAAAAAGATATGTGAAAGATCAGGACCTGAATGCAATAGTCGGATCCACTTCCATTGGCCTTGAGCAACTGAATCATTGATAAGATGACTCAGCCTTTCCATGAAGAGCGTGAAAAGGTATGGGAAGAGGGGACATCCTTGACGTAGGCCTCGAGACTGAGTGGATTCGTCCGTTAAGCCCCCGTTCCATTGGATCCGCATCCTGCTGGTGGTGATGCACTCCATAGCGAGATTCACAAAACTAGTTGGGGCACCAGATGCTTGTAATGTGTCTCTAACAAAGCTCCATTTGATGTGATCATAAGCTTTGGCAAGGTCGATCTTCAACACCATCCATCCAGTTTTCCCAGTTTTTGCTCGCATCGAGTGCACTACTTCTTGCAAGATACAAATAGTGTCAGTAATGTGCCTTCCTCGCATGAAGCTGGTTTGAGTTTCATGGATCAGCTTCGTCATAAGAGGTTTCAGCTGGTCAGCTAGACATTTTGTGATGATCTTGTATCCCTCATTGCAGAGACTTATTGGTCAAAAGTGCTCTATGAGTGAGGGGCTCGCCACCTTTGGTATCAACACCAGTGTCGTTTGATTGAGTATTTTGATCCTTCCCAGTTCAGTCCAGCAGCTCATGAAAAATCTGAGTACATCGGGCCCCACCAACGACCAAAAATGTTGTTAGAACAACGGGTGTAGGCCATCTTCATTGGGAAACCATGCAGGAAAGTGGTCAATTCAGCCCCATCATCAGACATTAGTGTATAGGCCAATATAGAAATGTCGTGCCATGTCCTGCAGCTCTACCATATCTTTAGTCCAATCACCATTCCCATTTCGAAGCAAGATGATCTGATTTCTCTTGCGTCATTTCAGTGCTCGAGCGTGGAAGTATTTGGTGTTCTGATCCCCGGAGATGGTCCACTCCATGTTTGATTTTTGACACCAGAAGATCTCCTCCTGTAGAAGGACCTCCTCCAACTCGACCCTAAGTTGCCTCAGCCCCTCATGCTCTGCATCCCCGCCCAGTCGGTGCTCCAACCTTTCAATCCTTTGTAATAAATATTCCTTCTTTCTATTAATATTTCCAAAAGTGAAACGATTCCACTGGCTTGCATCCTTGGAGAAGGCCTCAATATTAGATGCGATATTAGAGCCTTTCCACCAAGCCTCCTCCGTCATGTTAGCGAAATCCTCATGGGATAGCCAGACTGCAATGAATTTGAAAGGCTTAGGACCTCGTGCCTAGATATTGGGTTGCAGCTTGATTAACAGTGGTCGGTGGTCGGACTTGATACGAGGAAGATGAATAAAAGTCGTCTCAGGGAAAGCTGTCGACCATGTGTAATTAGCAAAACCTCGATCCAGTCTCTCCTTTATCCCTTGTCAGAACCAAGTGAACGAGGGGCCAGTGAATTGCAAGTCAATGAGTCTCGTATCTAGAAGGCAATCTTGAAATTCCCGTACGCAGCTTGCATCAAAATCCACTGCTCCAAATTTCTCTGACGCATGTAGTAGGGAGTTGAAATCTCCGCAAAGCAGCCACGGGTTGGACATGTTGGTAGCAATGTCACGAAGAGAGTCCCAAAGGGCTCCATGTTGCACGAGGGTAGGGCTACCATATACTGTCGTAAAGTACCATTCAGTAGCTCCTATCTTTCCTCTAACAAGGAGGAATTGAGATGATCGCCCAGCTTCTACGATCTGCACTATAGAGGAGTCCCATAGTAGCCATATCCCCCTAGGGAAGCCAACCGCGTCCACCACCAGAACCCCATCAAAGCCCATCTGCTCGATTACTTTAATAGTTGTATCCTCGCTTATATTCCCTAAAAACACACATAAAGCGCTTGCTGCTTGCACCCCTACAATTTCATGAGAAAATTTTGGCATCCATGAGATTGGAAACTAGTAGGGTAACTCTGGTTCTTGACGTTAGGTTACCGGATGCACCTCCGTGGGGGTAACCTCCAATAATCCTCCTGTACCAATAGACTTGCCAAAGCCTGATGTGTTGTCGTCCAGACCCCCCTCAGAATGTGTGCAATGTGGGAGGTACGTAGTTTGCATGGCGTGCATGACGAGGGCAGTCGGGTGTCACTCTCATTTGGGGTCATCGTACTCTGCTCCCGAATTACACCATCTTCCGCGAGCCCTTTCTTCGATATAGTAGTAGTCGTTGATAATTGGGATGGTTTGGGGTTCGGAGCAGTACATTTACTGGGTTCTTGTACCGACTCCTCTCCTAGCTGGGACCCTAGAACATTGTCCACTTCCATATTCAGTTCCCCAGCCTCGCTCTTGTCGTTTTATGCATGGAATTCAGTGTGATTCAAACTTATGTGGTTTCTTTTTCCTTAATGCTCGTAGTCACCCTTTGGGTGGCCATATTGTTAGCCTTCTCAACACATACTTTTTGTTGTTGAACTCTTGTGACCTTCTTCGATGAATTGCTTATCATATTTCGAGAACCCTATTTGTTGGTACCATGGCTTCCGGTTGCATTTTCTTTAGCACTCGATCCAACACTATCTTTCTCATCAGCGAGGATGTCAAATCGGGAGCCAGAAGAAGTGTTTTGAAACCCAGTTGGTGGCATTTTAATAGCCTTCTCCTCCGAGACGCGTGGTCTACGCTCTCTTATACGAGCGACCATCCATTCTCCATAGGCTTCATCATGTTTCGTGGTAGTTTCTATCGCGGGAATATGTCTCTTCTGGCTTGGATCTTCTGCTTTTTGTAAAGTAGGGCAGCTATCCTTGTCATGGCCGTGCGTGCCACATTCAAAACATATATTAGTGAGGCCTTCATAGTTGATTTCGTACTCAATCCCCTCCACTTTGTATTTCAAAAAAAGTGGTCGGGTTAAGTCGACTTCAATGCATGCCCTTGCAAACAGTCCAAGGGCTCCCAACTCCGTGGCACGATCAACTCTAATTGGCACGCTGGCCTTGCTAGCAATCCTGAGCACTGCTTCAGGGTGGAAGAGTTCAATGGGGAGGTCCGGCAATTGTATCCACACAAGTGTGGATGATATGGTGCAAGTCCTCGGATTAAATCCTTTCTTCCACTTCTGATTCATGAGATAATGGTCACCAATCATCCACGGTCCCCTAGTGATCACATGTTAATAGTCTAGCTTGTTAGTGTATCGGAAAAAGAAAAACCCATTGGCACGATTTGTAATCTGGATGGGGCCATGATTGGATAGGGAAAGGTCCTACCCAACACTTTGACCATGATAGCTGAGCGCCATTCGCGTCTGTAGTTCCTCCATTTGGTTGGCGTAAATCGCACAGTGGTGCACAGAGGGTTGTTATCCTCTTGATCTGGGGATTCGTTATCATCTTCCCTAATCGCCTCAGCCACATCTTCATAGTCCGAGTCCGCTACATACCAAGATTCCTCCCTGACTGCTTCACTGAACAACTTCTTGCTTTCCATACCCCAGGCTACCGACTTAGGCTGCGGCTTTGGCCCTTGTTCTAGTAGGTTGCGAACCCTACCCCCCTCTGTTGTGGTTTCCGGCATGCTGCTGTGATTTAGTTCTTCCTCGATAATATCTTCTACCATCACCTCGTCCATCATCGTATTGTCGTCCGTCAAGGTAAGCAGTCGAACTCTTTCCTTTTGGTGAATCGAGTCGCTGTCTTTCTTGCCGTCCGACAATGAAGAGACCTCAAGGGGACGTCGAGTTCCTGCAGTTGGATCCGGTGGCTTTCCATCCCCCATCCCTGGCACCGGAGGGCGGACGGCGCCGTCGCCGCCATCTTGGGGGCGAACCCTGCTAGCAAAAAACCCTAGGCGATTTCCTGGCTCCAAGAAAAGCGGAGCAAAAAACCCAAATTCGATTCCAGGTGATGGTTTAAATATAAAGAATGGTATAAAATGTTATGGGTGTATAGAAACAAAAATTTATGGATTTCGTTGTAATTGTTTACTAATAATAATAATAATTAATTCAATTACTATTAAATTAAAAATTGATTTATAAGGGTGAACGCAGGCGCATAGCGTACGCCTGGTGTACGCTAGCCTTTGACATATATAAGAGAAATGAAATAAAATCTAAACTAACAAATCGATGGTTTTCTACTAGTTACCGAGGTTCCTCGACAACAGTGCCAAAAAGCTTGATCGATTCATTTCATGCAAGTCATTGTTAGTAGTTTGCACATTTCAATAACTACCCTATAGTAGGCTTAGTTTAACTTAAAATGGTGTTGTCATATAGTGGAAATCAAAGTCGTATTCACTCGGGTCTTGGTACCCTAGCATACTTCCCACGTTGTTGTTATCTATTCAAACGGTTTAAGATGTTGTGTTGGAGGATTCATGTGAAATAACTAGTAGAGAGAATAAACAAGGATAAAAGATGGTACTTCAGGGAACTAACCCTCAGCCTAGTCTAGGTCTATCATGTAAATGTCTAAATATGTTGGGTTAATAGAATGTGGTGAGTGAGTTCTTTTCCGTGGGCCTTCGTGATTATCTACACGCCTCTGAGTACGCCTCCCCTAGAACCATGTCAGTCACCTCGATCTAGGCTATCGTATATGAGGCTATAAGAACATAGCTAAATTCAATGGGTACTACCCACTATCCACATCGAGGTTTCATCCCAGGTTCTATTTAGAAAGGCATTCTTATGGCATGGGTAAGGTCGCCTCGTCCACCACAAGATCCTATTCATTCATCTAACCCTAATTTTTCAGATGGCGCATACCCGTCTAACACTAAAACTCCATACCCAGCGTAGAAGCTCAAGTAGGCTAGTAGAGAAGATTAGGGCGACTTACCCAAGCACAATTAAAGATAGAGAAGCATTAAAATCAACTAGATAATCACATTCATTCAAAACCCATACATACACAACCTATACACTAGGTTTCATCTCCCTGAACAACCATTAGAGATTTAAGTCATAGATAGAGAAAGAAAACACAAACTAAAAGAGAGGGAGTGATGAAATCAATCTTCTTCTCCTTGCTTGCACCTTCCTCTTGCTCCTTTGGTGCATTGGATCTTCAAATAAGCTCTTCCAAAGTGTTTCTCCCTCTAAAAACACCGCAAAATCCTAAATTTCTCACTCTAGGCCAACTCCCCTTTGAAAAGTGCAGCAAGAGTGGTATTTACAGAAAGCTAATGGCAATCAGGGCCTCTAGAGCGTGACGCGATGGTCACGGCCGTGACCAGTTTGAACGTCCCTGAATCGCCCAAAGTAACGTGTTTTGACTCAATCTTTTTAAGTTCTGAGATCGTGGCCTCCTTCTTAAGATCGTGGTCGTGATCTTTGTGTCCCGGGCTTAACCTTTGTCGCCGTCAAAATGCACCATGCGCGGGATTCCACTGGGGAAACTTTCTGCCTTCTTCTTGGTTGCCTACTGAAGTTCATAGTCCTGATCTACAGCTCGCGAACATGGACACGGCCTGGTGGTCATGGCCGTGACGTGTGGCCATAACCAGTACCTCTTCTCCCCTTGTTGATCCTTTGCTTCCCAATCGTGTTGAGATGAACTCCAATCGATTCTCGATCAATACCAAATGCATATAAGAACTGGAATTTCATCATAAACACTTGTAAAAGCATAAAATAACTTGAAATGAAACAAAAATAGCCACAACTAACTTGATATGTGGCCTAGGCACGATGATTTTGACACACAAATGCCTTAAGAATAAGGGCTAAATAACACCTATTTTAGGTGTTATCAACGGAGGTTTACATTTTTGCCACAAACCGTCGGGCCACGAAGCGGTTTTATGGTTGAACTAAAATAGACAGAGGATCGTTTGAGGCCCGATTTTCCTAGGAAATGGCAGGATCATGATGATCTCTTAAGACCCCATTTTCTTAGACATGATCTTTTTATAAAGAGTACAAGTAAGTGTCACATTATATAAGCCCAAATCATTGAAAATAATCAATATGATTAATAATTAACAAATTAATTTTATAAACCACTAAGTACGTTAACAAAATAAAATATAATAAAGGTTGAATAATTATATGTACCTCCACATTTTTCCAAACATTCATTGAACGATAGTTTGGTTGGTCATGCAAAACGCTTGGATGACTCGGTCCTTGATGATATGACCCTAATTCGAGAATCCTCCCAAACTTGGACAAAAAATCAGAATCGCACAATGTCGAACTCTTCTTCTTTCTCCAGTAACACGAAAATAAAGGATAACTTGCGGAATCGATCATAAAGATCCGAATTAGTATATGAAACCAATCAAGCAATCTGAAACCCGTGGATAAGGCCAACCGATATCGTCGATGCTCGCCAAAACTAGATATGATCTTCCAGTTGATAAGAGACACTCAAACCTCCCGAATCTTCAAAGGATAATTTAAGAAAACCTTCACAAAAGAACTCGAGTAAACACTCAAAAGATCCAATTGCAGCTCAAGTGTGCACCTTCCAATTGTGTTCGACCAACCACGCGAGTGAATCCCTCTAATTGCGAATGAGGTCGTGGTCGTACTGTTGGTTTTCAGCCTGTAGCCCCAGGTTCGAATCATAGAGACGATGCTCGTTTTCCCTTTCCCCACCCCTCTTATAGCACCATATAACAGGTTTTTGTAAAAGAAAAAAAATCGCTCTAATTGGTTTGATAAGTGAAAATTGATTATTTATTAATCCTCCTCATGTATTAGCTCGTCACTTCCTCGAGTTGGAAGCAACTATTAATGTTTGAAGCGCAATTTATCCATTAAAAATGCTACCAATTGATCCTTATATCAATAAATCTGACTCTTAATTTTTTAACCATGAGAACTATATATATGGACATTCAATTTCACATGAATAAACTCGTAGTTTTTGCTCGTAGAGCAATTTTATCCCATATTGAATGCTCTCAAACTCTCTATAAATCTCTTAAATCGTCTTTTGATCCATGGTCTATATAGGGATCTAATTTGAACTCGAGTAACGTCCTCTGGGGTGAGCGGGGTCGCATCATTCCCTCCCTCTTGAGAAAGATTTGCCCTCAAATCTTGCTGCCACATATAAATGTTCTTACATGACTTTATTATTTCCCATCTTGAATATGCACCTTGAATGACAAGCTTATTCAAAAACTCTTGAAGTCTTCGTTTCTCTCTAATATGAGCCTCCTTTTATGATACTTCATCTCCAATAACCAACTCCATGCACTCGCACCATAATCTTCCATTTGAATTGATTTGCATTGAGTAGAGTTTTGACCATATTCAATAGCGGAATTTGATGTTGGTGATGTACTTGCGATGTCGATGTCGCCCATGGACGAATTTTGGTGATGTTCAATGACATCTCCAATAGAAAAATATACTCCATAGGTGACGACACAATTTGGACTTCTTCTGACAAGATTACACCCCAATCCAATGAATGGTTCTCTTCCTTCTCACTAAGGAATGCGAAATTCACTTCTCTTTCCTCAACTTGTAGAACATTTCCCTTCGTCTCATACCTTCATTGTCACAGACAGCCCGTTCACAAATTTCATCTCCAATTGTCAACTCAAAATGCTTTGTAGATTCTTCAACAAGCGAAAACACTTATGGATCCTCTTTCAAGTTTACCTCATTATGATCAAATTCCATTATCATGTTGGTGATAGGCAGCACTTTCTCTTCATCTTCCATTTTAAGTTCTATTTATTCTTTGTCTTTCTCTTCTACTTCAAGTTTTGGTTCTTCTTGAGATAAAATCAAAGCTTGTGAATCCTCTTCACAAGTGATTATAGTAAGTCCATCAACAAGAACCTCTTCTTTCTCTTCCACTTCTGCTTTGAATTCCTCTGCTACTTGGGAAGTAATCAGATTTGTAGTAGCATTTCTTTCTCATCCTTGACTTAAGCTTATACTACAACTCCCTCACCATGGATTGAGCTTAAAGAAGCATCTCTTTTATAAACATTAACGGATCTTGCACTAGCAGTCTCTTTCTCTTTCTTAATCCTTTTGTCTGCTTCCATTAGCTCCCTTTCAACAAGCTTCTTCTCATTGTCACTTTGTTCTTTGTGCACATTCTGGACATTTCGTTCTCCGAGGACACTGTACGTCTTTTCATGGGACATTCACTCGCCATGTGACCTTTTTCTTGACACTTGTAGCACATAACATCACTAGAACAAAAATCACATAGAGTTCTTTTTACTCTATTATTAAATTATATCATCATTTTAAAAAATTCTATTAAATTAAATTTCGAGTTTAGGTTAACAAAATCGAACCACGAGCTTGTTCATTAAAGAATATGGAATAGTTTCGTACTCAATGTTTATTTAAGTTATGGTCTAAATAAAAACTACAATACATCAACAAAAATTGATTCCCATATCATATCCCTAATTGAAGAGAACTCTCCGAAAAAAATTCATTTATTTCTTTAGCCATGCCTGGCTAATAGTACAAAAATAAAAATGAAAATTTAAATCTAAATACTACTTATTAAAATATTTTATATCTGATTGACAACACATGCGATGTCAACACGGCAAGTAACATTTACAATGGTCCACATGTGGTTCATGGCAACTCCATTGAACGCGAAATCCGTATTTCAATTTGCATCTGTAATAACATTCTTCAATCATACAATACAAGTTACCAAGGTGTTCCTCTTGTAGACAGTAGTATGGAGGAATGAGTGGAGGAGGAAGTAGGACTCTTCCTGCACATATTCATTATCAAGGTGTTCTAATTATTAGTTCTCAAAGCTTATAAGGTTCCGATTTTTGTATTTTCAAAATGAAAAAGTTAATTGGATAGTTACCTTGACAATTGACAACGAAAAGCACCATTATGAATAGAACAATACTGGTTGAGAAAGTCTTCATTTTTTGCAGAATAAAAAAGAATAAAATGTGATTTGAAATGGAGGGATGAAATCAAGAGATGGTACTTAACCGTGGAGCTTTATTGATATTTATAGGGAGGGAAAAACCATAGGTATATTAAAAAATTATTTTTTCTCACGATTTAATAAATACACTCCAAATCAAATAATCACGATTTTGGCTGCAAAAGAATCGGACGAGTTTAACTTCAGATATACTGTTCAGTTTGAGTAAACAAAAATAGATCTATCCTATAAAACGCGTTGATTGAGGGGCTCATTAAATGAGTTTGTTGAAATGAAGGAAAGTTTAGAATTTTTCATACTTATATATTTAAATTACTTTGTTCCACATTTTTTGGAGAAGTCATAGTTAGTGAGTGCAACTTATAAGTCGTTATTACGTGAATGCTAATAAAGAGATGAGAGAGAAAGCAAGAGAGAGCCTTTGAAGAGGAAGAGGTCATTGCATGAGTCATTTTGTAAGAAATTACACGTCTTCAAATGTTGTCCCTTAATCATTTGCAAATGACTTATTTTTTCATCACTAGTTTTCAATTTTTACTCTACCTTTTCTTCATATACCCAATACTAACTCATTAGTATTTTATCCTCACAAATCCAATACTTTTCAACTATTTTTAAATAATACTTTCCAATTATTAGAATGATTACTTTTCAATAATTTCTAATTAAATAATCATTAGTAATTTGAAGACCGGTTTCATGTATAGGTTATGTTTGTTGTTAAATGATATATTTTGTAACCATTGTAATTTGTGAACATTGTAAACATAAAATTAGTATTATTTTGTGAGGTTAATATCCAAATACTTGTTACTTAGTTGGCTATTTTTGTAGTTGGCTTTCTTAGAATAGCAAACAAGAAAAAGAACATATTTATTTTAGGGGTAAAATAATAACATTATAAAAATTAATAATCAAAAGATGAATCATCTAAAAACTTTTTAATTAACAACACATTTGAAAATACATCAAGCAAACGATCATGAAATAAAGGCGAGAAGGGTGGAGAGTTTTAGTGTGATTTTGTTTGGTCTTGTGGTTATCTGGAAATCAGGGGAAGTCAACCTATTGTCTTCCTTCGGTAACCTAGGCTGAAAGCGAGGATTATGCGTAAGTAGGTCGTTCTGAGGGGTATCCTACTGGAAAGTAGGAATTGAGTACTGTCACCTCCCGCCAGTATGCGCTCATTGTGTTTCTTTTGGTAATGATTGTAGGTGTGGCTCTCAGTAACCTGCTGAAGTAGGACCTCATTAGGGCACCCAAGTTCTTGGTAGATCAAAGGGCAAGGAGGTTGCAGATCCTCTGCTTGAATCCATGGTGGGAAGCATTGTCAACTCTCCTTTTTGTGCTTCTCTAATACGGAGACATAGTTAGACACGAGACAGGTCTAAGTATCTCCTTGGGTAAAAATATGGAGAAATCATTTAGTGATGTTGGTGGCACTGGTTTACCTTCTTAGGCTGAATTCCAGAAAGTCATTAATGGAGGAAAGCCAAATGTAAGGAAAATATAGAGACAGTTGGTGCATGAGGATAATTTGCAGAGCTCCTTCAATGTCATAGGTAGGCTGAGTGAAATAGAAGTGGAAAAGTTTTATAGTAAAAGTAGGAAGGCCAAGGACAAAGCCTCATCTTCCTAATGTTAGTTCTCTTTTGAAATGTGAGAGGGTTTAGCAACCCTTCAAAAAGAAAGGAATTCCATACAGTCCTTGGTAAACATAAGGTTGATATTGCAGTATTGTTATAAACTAGGGTTTATGAAGTTAATGTTTCAAAGGTGGTAGCAAGGTTCTTGTATAATTTGGAGAGACACTTGAACTATGTTAACTCGTATTTGGGAAGAATTTGACTCTTCTATGCTTCCTATGTGAACCTTAGAGTTCTCAAGTCAGGAAAGAATATTGTTCACACCATAGCACAATGTGTTGATGGAGAGAGTTTCTTTCTCCCAGCTTTCTATGCTTCCAATGATGAAGCTGAAAGAAAAGCCACATATGGAGAGATTGGAAAAGTAAAAGTTTTAGGGCATCCATGGATTGTTTAGGGGGAGGGTGGGGGGATTTGAATACAGTTCTAAAACATGAGGAGATGTCAAACTAGGAAGTGCCCATAACTAGTATGCAGGACTTTGGAGAATGGATTACTGACATGGAGCTGGAGACTGATAGAGGTACTGGCCCTTTATTCCCTTGAACCAATAAAAGAGGGCTAATCCTTTTGCAAAGATACTAGACAGAGCAATGGTCAACGATGAATGGTTGTCTGCATTTCCAAAGTGCAAAATGAATATTATTGCAACTCAATTCTATGATTATTGTGCTATTCCGACAATATACAAAATTTCCTGTCAAGTCACTTCCCAAACCATTTAAGATTTTGAATTATGGATAGACCAATCTGAGTTCTTGAACCTTGTTAAGAAAGCCTAGGATATGGATGTGGTTGGAACACCATGGATTGTCATTCACTGACCCGCCCCTAAAGGGTCAAGGCATATAAGTACCCGCCCCTGACCCTGTATGACCCTTTAAGGTCGGGGCGGGTCGGAAAGGGTTAGGTCAGTGGGTCGACCCTAATAAATATTCTAATTAATCACCAAAATTAATTAATTAGGAACTTAATCTAAAAATTTATTTATTTATCAAATTAATTCCAGAAAATTAATTAATCACCAAAATTATTCTGAAAATTATTTATTTACTAAATTACTCCCATAAAATATGTGTTTGATGAAAGGGTGTAAAGACGAAGGAGATGCATGATGGATAGGTCACCAATTCTGACAAATCATGCTACCATTGTGCAACCATTCATTGAAAAGTCCAAATCACCACAAATCACTACAAAGTACAAATACATCGTTGATTACATAATACATTGTTGTTCAATCATCATAAACCAAATCACTCATGATACTACCCTCATCCAAGCAAAACTCTTTCAACTCTGCAAAATTAACAACACACTAAATAAATTAATAATTATTTTTTATAAGAAAATTAATAATTATCTTAACAAATAGTGAATGATAAAAAAAAATTATATTTCATACCTTGTTCAAGTTCCTCAATTTCTTCAAATTGCTCTTCCATGTCAATTGGAAGAGTACTCGATCGAATCCAATTTTGATCACAAATCAAACTTTCAACAACCAAGGGAGTCAAAGAACTCCGAAATGTATCTAAAACGCGCCCCCCGGTATTGAAAGCAGACTCAGATGCAACAGTTGATACTGGAATCGCCAACACATCTCTGCCATCAAACTCAGTATTGGATACTCACCAGAATGCTTCTTCCACCATGCTAAAATGTCAAATGTTTTGTCCTCATCATCCTCAAGATTCGCCTTTAAGTACCTCTCAAGCTCTGAAAGTGTAGTTTCTCTCACCCTATCTTCCATTCTCTTTCTCTTGAATTTTTTCTTCAAATAATCCTCCACACTTTCAGATTCATCATTCTCATTTGGTGCTATACTCCCCGCACTTCTTGATGAGCTTCCACTAGTAACCCCTCTCATTTCAGAATAGTCCTTGAACATATCCTCCAAAACACCATTCACACTCTCAAACAACTCATTTTTAGTCCAAATTCCCCCATGTTCTATTCCATAAACCTCATCAAGCACAAAACAGGCATACTCCAACTTGTACCTCGGGTCAAGAACCACATCAATAAACAGTAAGGGATTGATGTCATCAAAGGTGCCCCAATACTTGTCATGCTTAGCTTTCATTCTTCTTGCCATGATTTTGTGACTCTCGATTTTTGATGAAGTTTCTTTTGTAAGCATACAAGCAATTCCATATACGACATGAAAGAGATCATTGCTTGTGACATACAAAGAACCTGAAATTTTCATTGTGGCATCATAGAAGATCTTCAGAAAAGGAACTAGAGATTCCACATAATGCCAATCCAACTCATTTGGTGTCCCTTTCAACTTCTCTAGCTCAACTTTATACTTAGGATCTTCTTCCTCTAACCTCTCAAATGCTCTTTTAAATACCAAAGCGGACTCCAGCATCAAGAAAGTGGAATTCCATCTAGTCTCCACGTCTAAACACACAAGTTTCTTTGTCTCTAACTTCTCCTCATGGGCACAAGTCTTAAATCTTTGCATTCTGGAATTAGACGATCTCACATATCTCACAGCGGACCTAATACGATGGATTGATTCGTCAACATCTTTCAGTCCGTCTTTCAAAGTCAAGTTCAATATGTGAGCATAACATCTCATGTGGAGATGTATACCCTTCAACACACTCCCTTTCCAATTGTTAATCCTGTTCTTCAAATATGTCATGCCCACATCATTCGAACTTGCATTATCCACTGTCACAGTTAGAACCCTATAAATTCCCCAATTAAGCAAGTGTTTTTCAACCGTTTTTCCAATCGTGATACCCATGTGATTAGGAATAGGAGAGAAGTTGATAATTCTTTTCTACATTTTCCATTCATTATCAGTGAAATGAGCAGTAAGACTCATGTAGTCCAAATGATGTCTACTTGCCCAAATATCAGTAGTATTTTGAAAAATGTGCTACCATGGTGTCTACTTGCCCAAATATCATGAGTCCAAATGCGCTACCATGGTTTTCTCTGTCTCAACTTAACCAAAACGGGTGCCCTGATCAACTTCTCTTGATTTCTGCTTCAACCTGTGATAGATAGAATCTAAATAGGTTGTTAGAATTTCTTCAATCGGTAGGAGTGAATTGATTGTACACGAGTAAGTCAATTCACTGCTTTGTACTGGAAACTGTTTCTAGTAGTGGAGTTCTGTGTTAATTGCCTTAGCATTCTATCTCGGTGAAGACTAGTCGTTTGCCGGTTAGTCTGTCCGAGAGGGCTTGGTCATCTTAAGAGATTCCAAGCTACTGTCGGATCTTGCGCAGTTTAATCCACAGTAAATCAACCAAAGGAAATTACAAATTGGACCTAACTAAGGAGCTAGGGGGACTCATTTCCGAGTGACTCTTCCCTTCCTTCAGAAAACCAGACAATATACTGTTTTCTTTCTATTTTAGTTTGAATTCACCTACACTCACTTAGTCCCGCTAGATAATAGAAGTTCACGGAGTATGCAGTAGATCTAGACCTCGGGTTGATAGATTAAACTTACCCACTATTATCCATTTCTAGACTGCTATTATACTTGGTCGTAGTTTGATGATTGTGTCATAGCGTGTCAAGTTTTTGGCGTCGTTGCTAGGGACCCTCTAGGTTATTGAAGAAACGCGAAAATCTGTTACTTTAGCATTTACTTTTCTGCATTTTCTTTCTTCCCCCTGTGTGCCTTCACAAGTTGTGTTTGTCGTCTGTGTGCAGGTGGTGCATGACACGTAGCCAGTTTGGAGATCTACTGCCATTGGACCAAGAGCTCGAAAGGGCCTGTTGCAACTTCAAGAGAGCTTTGAAAGAATGGCAGGCTGCGGAGGAAGCTCTAGCTCAGCTGAACATCAACCTAGAGGAAGAAATGAGTGACCCAAATGTTGACGCAACGGTTTTCCCCGAGGAGCACACCATGGGCTATTATTGGACTAACTGTACACGTTTTTATTAATTGACAAAGAAGCTTTCGAAGTTGGGAAGAAGAAGGGCAGAATATGGTTAAGTATTGGAAATTTTTCGAGATGTCTACTTTGGAGGCATGGTTCTCACAATTGGCTTGATGAAAATTCAATATTAAGGTCTTGTGTTGAAGATGGAGTGTTTATATACATATTGGTGTGCTTGGTTTCTCAAGGAGAAGTCAGGAAGGTTGTTTTTCAAGCTCACCAAAAGCCTATGTCAAAACTGGAAAACTGCCAGAAAATGGCTAAGTCTGGAAACTGTTTTGTGAAGCCTACTTTGGAGCTAAATACGAGGAGCATGCATCTGATTCAAGTCCAAAGGATTCCATAACATTAAAATAGGTATGTTTTTACACAAAGGGAAGGAATTGGTTGAAAGATTGGAGATCTGGAAGGCCTCGAACGAATGGCACGAAGTTAGTACGAAACCTGTTTTTGAACTGTTTGCTGGCAGCTTACTTGTGCTTGAAGAAAGAGAGTTTGTGGTCGAATTTTGTAATCTTTTTAGGGTAGAATTTTACCTTAGTTATTTCCTTGTTCATTTAGGTTTGTATTAGGTTTTCTTGGCTATAAATAGCCTTCTATTTTTGTCGTAAAAATACAGACTTTGATTAATCGAAAGAAACCATTTGGTTATGTGCAAGTTTGCGTACTTGTACGGGTTTGGTGGATTCCAAGCTCTTAGAGTTTTTTTATCGATCAAGAATGCGTTGATCGTGGCCGGCCATCTATCATTATACCAATCGAGCCTTTCACTAGGTGTGGAATTGCACTTTTGGTTCCATTTTATACAAGTTCGTATTATGAACGCTTCGTTCTTTATTCGAGCTCAATCTATCTTCCAATTGAGTCGTTAGCTGCGTGAGTGTGATAATATACACCCCTAGTGTCGTATCAAGACATAAGTCCCCCAATCCAACACCCTCAAGTTGCTGCTAACAACTTTGAGGTGAGCACCTCTATCATCACCATACTGCGCTCGGTGGTATTCCATAAGAAATAAGACGAATGTCCCATATCACACCTGCGGAGGTTCCACGAGCTGATCGATGGAATGAAGATTAATGGAGTCCCGCAGGATGCCATTCAGTTGTGCTACTTTCCTTTCACTTTAGAGGGACAGACTATGATGTTGTAGGACAACCGGCCTCCGGGATCGATCACTACATTCACCGATCTGGCTAACAAATTCCTAACCCGCTACCATCCTCCGTCTAAAACGACATACTTACAGAAGAGAACACCCATTTTTGCCCAGGAGGAGGACGAAACTATTCACGACGCTTGGGATAGATACACTAGTCTCTTACTGAAGTGTCCCAATCATGGTTTCAATTATGCCTTCAAGGTGGGCACCTTCTATCGGTCTTTGTTCCCTGAAGATAAGCAGCTGATCGACTCGGTTTGTGGCGGGAACATCCTGACTAAGATGCCACCGCAGTTGAACCAGCTCTTTGCGGAGATGGCATAATAGGGGTATGATTGGGGAGCTTTCAGGAGGTCTCGGCGAGAACCAGGCCGGGGTGTGCATGCTATGGACACCCAGTCATCTAAGTTGATGCATGTCGTGTCTAAACTGGTTTTAGTTATTGATCATAATGAGATGATTTCTAGTACAAGGCAGCAACAGGCGATGTATTGCAGTGGTGTGAGAGCACCAATCACAGGGTGGAGGACTGCCAAGCCATGCGAGAGTCTAGCACACCACAGGAGCAGCTGAATTTCATTAATAATGCTTGGCGCAACGACCCCTATAGTAATACATACAATGAGGGGTGGCATCAACACCCAAATTTCATATGGAGTGGAAACAATAATCCCAAGCCATCGGGCTTCCAGGCTCCTGCAACTGGTTTTCAGAACCAGAGACAGCCATACCAATCTCGCCTGGGCCAGATGCAGCAGCAGGAGCCATTTTATCAGCCTAGACAGAGGCAAGCTTCTCAATAGCCCCTGCAAAAGCAGTTTCAGCAACCTGGTTCATCTCCATCTGTCCCAGCACCGGGCAATCCCGTGTCAGAACTAAGGGTTATTTATGACCACCTTGGTCGGCACCAGTACCGAGAAGTTCAGTAAACTGTAACAATTTATGGAAGTGGCTGAGGGAAAATTCATGGAGATTGAAGCTAGCCAGAGGCACCAGCAGGCACTTCTAAACAATATGGACACCAAAATCGGGCACCTAGAAGATGCCTTTGCTTCCAGACCGGCTGGTACACTTTCTGACCAACCCTTGTCGAACCCTAGAAATCATACTGTGGGGTTGCACGCCATCATGATGAGGAGTGTGACTGTAACTGAAGATGCAACACCGAAGAGTGCAAAGAAGGTGACGCTAATCACCCTAGAGCTGGAAGAGGACCAGGTGATGGCAAAGGAGCCAGACGTTTACGCCCCAAAGCCCCACCTAGTAGTGGATGAGTATAAGCCTAACCTCCCTTTCCCCACCATGATGCATAAAGATCGGTGGAGGCCGAGTTCAGGAACTTCATGTCCATGCTAAGGAAACTGAATGTTCAAGTGCCATTTATGAAGGCACTAGCTCAGATGCCTAACTATGCAAAGTTCCTGAAAGATCTTCTCTCGAAGAAGCAGATTCTGAGCGAGCTGGCAAATGTGGATCTTAGAGAGGAGTGCTCGGCCATTCTGCAAAACAAGCTTCCGTAGAATCAGAAGGACATAGGTAGTTTTACTATCTCGTGCTCTATTGGTAAGTTGCATGTAGAGAGGACTTTGGCAGATCTAGGCACTAGTATAAATGTTATACCATATCATTTGTTCAAGAAACTATGCCTAGGTGAACCAAGTGCAACTAGGATGAGTATCTAATTAGCTGATCGATCCATAGTTCACCCTGGAGGCATAGCGGAAGACCTCTTGGTTAAGGTTGGCAGATTCTTTTATCCTTCAGATTTTGTTGTCTTAAACATCAATGAGGACGCAGAAGTGCCCCTTATACTAGGTAGGCCTTTCCTGGCTACCTCCAAGGCTCTCATAGATATACATGATGAGACCTTAGTTTTGAGAGATGGTGAGGAGAAGATAACATTTTCCATTGCTAATAATATGTCTGCTATCTCGGCTGTGCATGCTTTATCTCACCAGGTGCATGAATCTATCGTGTATCCTTCTGTATCGCCCGTTTTGCAGGATTCTTCACTTATTCCTT